TCACTGCTGATATTTTCACATTGAAAATACTTGCAAAATTATCACTTTCGTTTAAGGGATAAACTACAGTATTTCACTGTTGAAATTGAAATTTAAACGGTTTTTTTTTTCTTCTTCTTCAAAACCTCTTAAACAAGCAATGCTTATTAATACTTTATATGCAATGTCCGAAATGATAGAATTTTTCTTAGCCTAAGGGCTGTATTAAGATAAGCGATCATGATATATTCATATGCCTTAAGTACAATCCGGTTTTGGTGAGATTTTATTTTGAAATAATTATTATTTACAAGATTTCTCAAAATAACGAAAGGTTTATAGCACTGTTAATGTTTATATTGAATTCCAAGAACAATTGACCAAAGAGAGAGTACAAGAGCTCAGAGAGCCCCCTTTTACTCCAAAGTTTCAATAAACTGGAGGTTATCAACGGTTCTTTATAGATACAATCCCTAGTTCTCAATAACACCCCCCCCCCCCCGAATATAATCGACACCAAAAGCAATCAGACACCATAATACTTTGACTAATTTCCTTATTTCCTTATCTGACCATAAATTTTAGGTTTTGTCTCAAATGACAATTAATGACATACATGTACCACATAATTTGTTAATTAAAATATCCTTTTTAATTGTTTACTACACTTTCGAGAAGATGCTCCTCTAATCTTTAGACTAAATAATTTTCTAGAAAGGTCTTACAGCGACTTTGTTTAAACGCTCTTGATATCATAAAGCGTTCAATGAAAGTGTCGTCTCAGTAAAAGAGTAGGCTGATGTCAACTTAAACATATATAACGGAGAAAGAATATTGCGTACTAGCACATTTAGCCAGTACTTTCCGTCGGCGAGGGTCGTCAAAAATTTGGTATTGATAGTTAAAGAAAGTTTTCTAGCTTTTAATTGTTCCTTGAGTGATTTCAAATATATATTTTAAGTATTATTGTGAAAAGTAAAAGAAAGAAGTAAAGAAGAAAAAAGGGGAAAAACTCAACTATGTCACAAGATATTTTACCTTGCAGTGGTCCTTTTTGCTCTTTGGCTCCCAACCCATTTCACCACAGGTTGCCCGGCAGTTCTTTACATTGTTTAAACATTCTTTTGTGTTGAGCGTCACAGTCGTACTCGTAATGGTGGCAAGGCATATCAGAATTCCATGAAAAACAGCCTTCATCTTCTATGTTTAATCTTTTTAAAAAAATAATTAATAAATATAAACAACAAATCAATTTTCTTATTTCAAAAACAAATGAATAGTTTTTTTTACAGTGTACCTTGCATTCTTTCACAGCATTAATGAAAAAATGCAAACCAATAATATAATAGTACTTACATGGACATGTAATTCGGGAAAAAAATTGTTTAAGTACAATTTTTCTCCTTGTATTTAAATTAGAATCAGCATTGTCATTAAATTGTTATTTGATATACCTTTTATACATGTATAGTATATATGCACGCAAGGAACACGTATCCAATATTTTCCGAACTTTATTAAGTATATCTACATAAATGTAAAAAAAAAAAAAAAAAAAAAAAAAAAAAAAAAAAAGACAAAAAAGAAAAGAAAAAGTCTTTCTCATTGGATTTATGGTTACAGTAATAACGATAAACTGATAAACATCTTTGACATTATATTCAGTTTTTACAATAATGATTTTTTTTTTTTCATTTTTTTTAAATGAATATACTTTCCATTACAATTTTTTAATTATTTGTTCAAGCTTGAAGCTTGAAAATTCTTTGAAAGAAATTTATGAAATAACATAATTAAAAGCATTCAAGGAATTCCATTCAACGAATTACGAACGTTGATTCAAATGTAATGTCACAACTGAAATGAAATCTTTAATAATTGAATGTTATCACCAAATTTTACATTACCAAAACCCCTATATATATTAAGTTTTGCTTTAAAATTTCATTCAGTTATATGAAATACTTTTAAAAAAATATATGGCAAAAATGTTACTGGCGCAGTTATGATGTTACTTTTTGGGCACTCAATTTTAGTTCATCCGCAATTTTTTTTTTAAACTCTCATACACTTCTTTGTAATAATATATTTACTGCCATTTTGCTATAAAACCTCCTGTTTTGAATCATAGTACATGTATAAAGATTATTTGAACTTTGTCCGAATGTTATTTCTAAATTCTTTCCTTTTGCGGAGATGTATCGTCAGATTCATAGTAAGTAACATTAAAGGTTGACTGTCAAAGTTAGTGACATTCAAGGTTGACTGATTGTCCACTCACTTTCTTCCTCAGTTGAAATGTTGAAAAGTTTGATAACCTGACTTACATGTAACGTAACATTTTCAACTAAAAAGGAAAATAATTAACATTATAAAAATATAAACCTTGCACAAAATACCAATGTAAAAGGAAGTCAAAAAATGCCATTGGACAGATCGTGCTTGGAGGATGAGTCCTTCACGTCATTTCCTTTTAAATCCAACGCTAAGCTAGATCTCTATGATCTATCCAGAGTTATCGTTCCCGCTACTCTCCACTTATGTGTTGCAGCGAAGCGTAATACGCTCTCTGGTGAGAGATTGGGCTCATACATTCACCTCTGGTTCGCGCATAATGCAGTGATACCGACAAGAAATATAGTGCGTTTGTCATAAATCATTATACATGTAATTAAATACCTGTCCTTTAAGGTAGATATTTACTAAGTAGATCTAGAACTATTGGTTTATTTTTATATATTCCTTGAATTTCTTTTAATGGCAAAAATTCTGACGTGGGCCCATTGCAGAGGTATCTGAGAGAGGAACGAACGACAAATCTGTAAGGGAGATTGGTACGCAAAGCGAAATGAATATGAATAGTGCAAATGAAATATGGAAAGTTAAATTATTTTTTTTTATGATATTCTTTCAAAATTGACGCTGCACAAAGTGGGAGCGTACGTGAAATAAAACATATATATAAGCGATACAATAGATTTATGGATGAACTAAAAATGAGTGCCGAAGATAAATTCATGTCAAAAAGGCGTCGGTACATTCTTGCCGTGCGAGACCTAACGTTGTGTTTATTTTAATATTTCAAAAAAGTAATGCATATATCTGAATGAAATTTTAAGACAAACATTAAAATAGATAGAGGTATTAGTATATGAAATTTTGTTGATAACTTTCGATTTTTATAGCAGTTACTATTGGATCAACCTTCGTGTTGTTGCAATATAACACAGGGAATGAAGTATAACACGCTTTATTCAGAGCATTGTGCGATGCTTTAAAAATCAAATTATTATTTGTTTCATCGCATTTTGCTTTTTTTTTTTTTTTTTTTTTTTTGTCAAGCAATCAAACAAAAAGAAAAAAAATGAATTTAAAAAAAAAAGTCAACATTAAGTAAATGAAGTACGCAATCTACAAGACTCTTGCATTTTTTTTTTCCATTGAGTAAATGCAACACCGTAAAGGAAATGCCAGTATTAATACATGACCATTTAATGCATGGCAATATATATTGTATTCACAGAGTATATCGACTCTTTAAAAGGCAGTGGCAATTTAAATAGAATGTTTCAATCACAAATTACACCTACATAATGCCATATCTAATCAGCAAACCTGACGAATGTTCTGCGTAAACAGACCAAACCCATGGGTTTGATTTCTCACCGTGTAACAACCATTATTTTTTTTGTTATTTCTATGAAAGTATGCGCTTAATTATTTTCTATTAATCCCTAACTCCAGAATGTCCAAATCATGTACCGGTCAGCCGTCCATCCCTAACGGTTATCCGACAGGTAGCCCTAGTGGTACCCCAAAGACTATAACTTTTGTCTGCAATCCCGGACATACTCTCTCAGGAAATCCCACGTACACCTGTGATACCACTTCCGGGAGCTGGAGTGGGAATGCTGAATGTATTCCATGGTACATCAAAGATGGTACGCTTTTTTTTTTATTTATTCAATTAACAATGTTGTTTGGTTATTTGCGGTCTCTTTTTCGTAATGTAATACAGCATTCATTTGCAATATTCAATATATAATGTGGTACAGCAATAATTGTTCAATCTCTTTAATAAACTAAGTGCTTAGAAATAACGTGTGATTTAGGCGCAAAATACACCTAATTTTTGATCTGGGCAAAAGTCACAATTATCGTACATGTGTGTAACAGACACATAGAATGTAAGTAAATGGATATTTTTCAATTTTAAAAATCATTTTATCTTCTGGAATAAATGTATGCTTTCTTCGAAATATGAATTGCAAAAAAAATGGATATATAGTACATGTATAGTCAATAGTTAAATATGAAATGTAAAAACTAAGAAAGTTATAATTTTGCTTAACTTATTTTCAATTTAATGAAGCCTTCCTAGCTCTACTAGGTAACATTTGTAGGGATATCATTTAACGGGTTTTCTATATTTATGCAGTACCATACAAGATCAGTTTTCGAGATGTATTTTAATACTGATAATATCCCTTTTAAATATTTCTTTGTGTGTATGTGTCTGTGTTTTTGTTGTTTTTTTTTTTTTACCCTTTGTGTTGCGTAAAAAGGTCTTTACAAAAATAAAAACTGTGGTAAATCATAAATAAATTTGATAGCAAATGTTGAAAAAAAGATGGAAAATTAATTTTGAAACTATGTACAATGCCTGTTCAATTAATTGTTTGTAGTTGTACAGGTGGATTCTTATTCTTAAACCTGTATCAAACTCTCACTGATTATTCTCGTTGATGTCTAACCTGAATGTCAAATAAACAGTTGATAGAATTGACAATCCAGAAAGCATTCTGATAATATTTTAATCAGGAAAAACAAATTTCTTTTCAATGGTTCTTTGGACTTTAATCTTTGCTAGGTCATTCAATTCAAATTATAACATTCATTAACTAGTCATGACCTTAAGGTAGAGTTCTGAATCATTAGTAAAAATTATCTCCCTGTTTTCGTTTTCCAAATGTATTTAAGTGCAATACATGATCCCATCGACATTAAACATACTCTCCTAGATGAGTTGTGATATACCCCCATCTTTGCCTAATGGCTACCCAGTGACTAGTATTGACTCTAGTGGCCCAGAACCTTCTGTGCGTTTTACATGTAATCCGGGATACACTTTGTCAGGAGGTCCAAATTTTTACTGCAATAAGACTTCTCATATTTGGTATGGAAACACGGTTTGTGGTCAGGAGAAACTTCCAGAGGGTGAGTTCAAAATGAAAAAAAGTACAATTCAATGTTATTTTAATTTCAGTTAATATCATGGTTTTTGTTTAGAATCAAAGATACTGATTTCAATTAGAAACTGAAATTAAAATATCTGAAAACCAAGTATCTTATTGAGATTTCTTTGGCTATATTATTCAAACCTGATGAGACGCCATAAGATGGACTTCAATTTTAATAAATCTAAACCGAAAAGATACGACACTAATTATTTCAGAAACAAAATATACAACTACATTAAAACTAAATCACAACCAATGAAAGCCCGAAAATAACCTTGTAGGCGCTACAATGATTTTTATTTTAAATAAAATGAAAAACTCCCGGTCCTAAGGTAAGTTGATGCTTTATTGCTCTAATGAGAGATTACTCAATACCTACGTTGTGAGGTTGAAATGACCGGATTGTGATTTGTTATCAAATTAGCATTGATAAATACAACAATTTAATCAACGGTAAAGGTTCACAGGTAGGCTAACAAATGTGACAGCCTCCTGGAACATATCAAATAAGAATCCATAAATTCATGTCTCTGGGAAATATAGAGCATAATGAAAGTAGGTAACATTCTATTTTTTTCTGACTTTGAGTGACAATTTTATTTTTTAACATGGAATTACATTTACAGTTTGGTTTTGGCTTCTGATAGCACTGGGATCTTTGGTGGCAATTGGAGCAATAACGGCGCTTTGTGTTTACTGTTGTAAACGATGCTGTTGGTAAGTAAATGCAATTTTGGTACTTGTACTTAACATCATCTAACAAAAACAACACGTAAAAGATTATAAGGGATAATAATTATTGTAGTAATACATTGTACACTTTTTCATTTTCGTAATAATTTTCGTATCTTTCCTAGGCGCAACCGAGTTCGGAAAATAGGACCGACCCATGACGAGGAATATCCCCCAGGAGTCTGCGGTGGATGTTGCGATTATGGCGGAAGTTGTGATGTTTGTGGTTGCGTAGACTATAACGGATGTTGCTCGCTTTACGGTTGCTGTGGCTACCGTGGCGTCTGCGGATGTGGCTTTTTCACATGCTGTCGATGTTGCAGAGAACCAGATGATACGCATGTGCAAGGCAACAGAGGCCTGCATGAACGAGGCAGACGACGAAAGGGTAAATGGTGGACAGGGATTCTCTCTAAAAGAACAAATATGAAAGCGAGGCGAAAGAGAAGAGACCTCTGGCGGCGATGGCGTTCAAGTAGACCCGATAATCCAATGGATGATGAAGTCTACAATAAAGTTAGGAAAAATGCCAAGGCGATCGCTATCTGGCTTCCACATTCAAACCCAGTGAGATCCATCAATACAAGCACAAAATAATTAAAACAGTGCATTAAAATGTATTCTAGCATTATTTGAATTATGTTAAACTGACTCCCAGAGTCTTCTTTATGAACGAAAAAGACTCTTTGACGTCGATCTATGTGGGAAGAGTTTATATTTTTCTGCATTTATACAAAATTAATACGTATAATAACGTGATTCATGTTTACCTCTTTTATGATTATACTTTGGCACGATGCTTTCTTTTATTTATAATAAGTTATGTACATGTATATTCAATTCAGGAGAAAACAATATTAAATTTTCAACGGACTTACATTATCTATATTTATGAATACTCTGCAGAAACATAGTATTCTGTTCTTACTAAAGGAGACATATTGTTAATTGTCATATTATAATTTTATTACATAGAATTTTTTTATGGGATATGAAAAGAGTATTGAAGAATATTTTACCCAGTTGAAAAGAAAATCTTTTTTGTATAGATCAAATATGCAATAAATGTTTTATTTCATCTTGTATGCAAGTGAAATATTTCTGTGCAGTAAAATCCAATTATAAGGAACTCAAAAAGGAAAGTTGTTTATGCGTTTCTTGATCCCTCGTTATTAGAACATAAAATTCTTAAATAAAAGTACTAAAAATTAATGCCTCTGGGCCCGAGTATCAATACGCAGCTTTAGACTTATTTAAGTCAGAATTTGTACATTTGTAAGTTTTATAATAGAAAACACAAAATTTGTAATGTTATTTAAAATTTTCCTTAAATATAGCCTTAGAAATAAAACATTTTTTAAAGCTTACAAATATGCACCAAGAATAAATTTGACAAATATTCCATGTCAAAATGTTATTTTATTCTTTGAAATAATATATGTGATGATAAATGTCGAATACAGTTTAAGAAATGCTTTAATACTAAAAGTTTCAAAAAAATGAGTATCTCATGAAAAGACTTGTAGTTTTAAGGTACAGTATCCAATTAGGTATTTGAACTCTAGTAAAGTTGTTAAATGGTATCAATTAATAAATACATTTACCATTTTAATGCAAATATATTTTGCAAATAGTTTGTAAAGGAAAAGGTGAAGATAAGAAACAGTTTTCAATCTCAAAAAATCCATAACCAATACAAATCTGTGAAGAAGGCATCAAACACGGACCTCTGGAAATCCAGAGGTGGGATCAGATGCCTAGGAGGAGTAAGCATCCCTACTGACCAGTCACACCTGCCGTGAGCCCATTGTATTGATCAGTTACAAGGAACATTCCGTAGTCAAACTCAGGATAAAAACAAAGGCCTATCAATTGGTATGAAACACGTCAGCCAAAATACGACCCAATGATGTTTTATTTGCTAATAAGGTCATTATAATGACCATAGAATTTACGAAATGCTGACTTTAAACGAGGTAGTTGAAATCCCTGTAGCACAAACTTATCTGTCAGTAGCCTGTCTTGGTTTAAAAATTGATCGTACTCGCAGCAAGCTTGTGAGTATAGAATAAGTTGTGAGATGTAAACACCATATGCAGGTGATAGTGGGATATTATACATTTATTGACTCTGTTCTCGGGCAACATGCGTTTTGTCGGACCCAAGAACCAAACAGTTTGGTTCGACGGGGTCGACAAAACGCATTTTGCCCGAGAACACAGTCAACAAATGTTTTGTTATACCTTTTATTTGTTGATTTTATCATTATTTTTTTGACATACATGTATGTCAAACACTAACGAATGCAAATGAGATTTAGCTGACCCCGCCCATTATGTGACGTAAGCGGTCCAACATCTCATCGACAGGTCCAGTATCTCACTCCGCGGTCAAACATCGATTTTTTTATGCCCGCTCAGTAAAACATTGGAAATGTTAGACTTTTATTAGTATTGATTTATATAGCAACACATTTTTAAAGGTATAACAATACTATAAAAATAAAGAAAGTTGACGATGAAAAAGTTGAAAATCATCCCATTTTGCCATACAATTTAGTTGTTAATTGGTCCTTATCGTCTATAGTCAATAAAACATTCAGATATGAAACAGATGTGGCAGACTCTGTGGTGTCTTTTATTTCAAATTCACTGGGATATATCGAGTCGATATCTGAATGGAAGTAACTATTGTTGATTGATAATGAGTCGTCGATATATCTAAATGTCGAGTTGAAGGCCATAGCAAGTGTTTTCTTCTTCTCCTGTAGAGGTTTTTTGAATAAATAGACTGCTTCATAGGAATATACAAACAGGTCAGCTAATAAAGAAATACAATTAGTGCCCATCAGAACCTGGCTCCGGGGCCATAAAACTTAGATGAGCTCACTTTTGATCTGTCTCACTTTTACAAAAGGAATAGAAAGTGGAATAGCGAGAGTGAGATCAAAAGTGAGGTCATCTAAGTTTTATAGTCCCAGAGCCAAGTCTCTGAAGACTACACAAATGTTATCAATGAGGAACTCCAGCATCCGTTTAATATTAATTTCAGAGTACCTGTGTTCCCAGCTCTTTCACAATATTTTTCAAAGTAATGAAGCTTAAAATTTTTAAACTCAAAAGGAACCATCAACTTTTTCGTTAATTTGTTTTAAAAAAGTGCATTCATGCAGATCCAGGACACAATAAAAGATAGAACATATGAGGAATAACTTACTTCGAATTGATAATAATTTTCTGTTTTTTCCTTACATAATGCATTGAACAGAACAGAAATCTGCCAATTTATATACAATATGGCTACTATGCAAATTAGCAAAATGTGCACCAATTTTCCACATGAGGTAATAAGATATGAAAAAATTCTACACGTGTTTAGACAATTTACAGGTAATTTAATCAAATTTTTCTGATACAATTCAGAATGTATAAAGCTCTAAATTTCTAAAAGGGTTTGGACGACGATATGTGCTGCCAGAGACCTTCTGTATAAAAAAAAAAAAATGATACTAAAATTGGGGAAAAAATATGAGCACAACATAAAGTTTACATGTACACAGTCGATTCAATTTGCATTTCAAATTCTAGTATACATTAAATGGTTTGTCAGAAAAGTGGTAGGTTTGCCAAGTTCTTTCTCCACAATCAATGATTCAGACTATTCAATCGCTATCAAAACGTAAACAGGTAAAAGAGGTCAATTTCGACTGTGCGATATGTTCATTATCAACACTCGTGTTTTGTTTGAGACATCGTCGAGTAATTCTCATCGTTTTCCAGTGCTAATATCTCAATTCCTATCTGATTCAAAACATTCAAAGCAATGACTTGTCCTCCCCCTACGTCCATTCCTCATGGCCATATTTCGAGTTATGTGCCTGGAGCGTCAGCAGTGTATGAGTGTGATGGGGCCTACTCGATGGTTGGAAGTTCTGTATCAACGTGCGATACTAAAACTAGTGATTGGATTAGCCCTGGAAAGTGTGTGTTGTCATTCATTGACAATGGTATGTATTGGGGGGGGGGGGGATTTTTCTTCTTCCCAAGAAAATATAAACTTCTGTTCTTACTTCTGAAAGAAAAAAGAGTTTAAAGTGCTTTTAAAATATATAAAACCCAAAGTAATCATTTTCAAATGTATATCTTTGCTTATGTAACTTGGGAAACATTTATGAAAAGTTTTATTTTTATAGTCTGGTTTTGGCTTTTGATCGGCCTTGGAGCTTTGTTGACCATTGCAGGAATAACTTTGCTCTGTGTTTATTGCTATCGCCGTTGTTTCAGGTAAGATTTGATCACCTTTTTAATATCATTAAGTCCATTTTTGTATTTTTGTTTACAGTGGTCAGGTATACATATACAACTCCCATTTCTCGCAATATCAGTAACAAGGAAAGGCATCAATCATGCAAAACCAAGCAATTATAATACTGGTCTTGAAATGAATTTTACAATTTTTTAATGCAAAATATACGACATATAGAGCAAAATTTCAGAATGAGGTCAAGAAGAACTAGGCCTAATGAGGAGGAAAATCAGAAGTCAAACAGAACACCTAGAAGTTCCCGTGAAGATCCCGGATGTTTTGAAAACGGCGGCAAATGTGACCTGTGTTGCGTAGATTACTACGGATGTTGTTCATTGCTAGGTTGTTGCGGATATCATGGTTGCTGCGCTTGTTTCTGTAGTTGTTGTCGGTGTTGCCGAGAACCAGAAGAAGGTCCAGGAATTTCGAGTCTCCCCGTTTCCTTTTTCCGCAAATGGAGGAGAAAAACAAAAGGTGCAAAGATAAAGACCACCAGACCTGTACTTGTTTTACAGTATGAAAAGGACAAAAAGAGATCTGCTGCTAAAGCGTCAAAATCGGCTAAAGTTCCAGTGATTCCATTATGGCTGCCTCACAAAAATCACGTCCGGGATATCAACACAAGCACGAGATGACCATTGATTTATATTACAATAAATCAACATTGATTGGTTAAACGGATATTTCAAATGCATCCTTCAACAGAAGGGGAAAAAACATTCTCTTTTCATCTGCTTTAAAAGTGTGGTTTATCTCATTGTAATGGAAGCTCTCATTAAGACATAGGGAAAACAGTCTGTGGATATTTTTTCCTGATCCTTTCCTATAATATCTTGCCACGATGTTGTAACTTATTTGTTTTCAATTGCCTTTGCTTCGCTATTGTTATGCTTTGCAAAGGTTATCCGTCTAGTATAAAGCATACATATCTACATATATACGTTAAAATGTATGTAATATATATACTGTAAACTTGGTTATAGATTGAAAGTTTCCCTCTTTTCGAAATTTGGTGAGTGGAAACTAGGACTGTCAATCAGTAATATAGCTATTAATATGAGAATGACAACATTTAGATTTGAATACGTTTCACAACCAAGCATTGACAATGTTTTAATAATTATATGTTTCATAAATATGCGAATTAAAAGAATTTCTTGTGTACATGAGTTCCAATGGAATCAATGATTTGCTCTTCATTAAATTTGAATTCTATACCATATGAGTGTGATATTTTTTTTCATACATGTAGCAGGGGTACTGAATTACATCGTTAACTGTCTAAAAAAAATATCTAATCAGTAAGAAAAATGTAAATCAGACCTTGCAAATTTTTGTCTTACTCTCATGTTTCATCGTTATGTGCCTTGTTATAAAAAAAATGTTAACTTTTGTTCAACAAAAAAACTCTGCGCAATTCAAAAATGCAAATCTAAATAGTAGGAAAGGAATACCTGGTACATTCAAAGCACCATTGTTATGATATCAGTAGAAATATTTTTATCAGGGACTTTGTATTGATAAATTACAAGAGGAGAAGAAAGAAGAGAAAAGAGTTGCCAAAATTACGTAAGAATTTTGTTATTCATTACCAAGGGTTTTGTTTAAATTACCTTCTTTTTTGGGGATAATGAATAGACCTCTATAATTTGTCGTTTTAATGCATATAATGTTACGTTTCGTTTAATACCAAATTGGCGATTGCAATGTGGTACCATGAACTGTTCTAGATGTCTACTGAAGACTTTTAGATAATAGGTAAATGTTTTTTTCCCCCCACAAAAACGTCTCTATATATAGTACCTTATTTTTTTTCTAACACTGTCTTTAAAGACAAAATGATACTAATCGATTTGTGTGCAATAACAATTTTACTAATACTAGTACTTCATATATCCAACAATCTTTTTCAGCATGGCTATAACCACTGTGTTGGTCACTTTCGGAATAGTGTTGATTACAGCAATGTGTATTTTAACGTTTCTATGGATTTATTATCGATGCTTTAGGTGAGATAATGTTACATATAACCAAGAGGCGCATTTAGAAAAAGGAATACATACATGTACAGTTAAAAACCCTAAATTGCAATTCTTAGAAAACTTATCACCCCAAAAGGGATTTCGGAAATGGTAGAAAATACAGTTTTCAATTAATCTCATCCGATCACTCATACAAAAACCATTTTATCCATGTCTTTTGTCGGAAATATAAAATGTGTTCAGACCTGTCCGCATGCTAATATCCACTGTCTGACCGTCTGATGATGAATTACATTTAAAGGAGTAATCATTTTGAACTTTTATTGGAACATCCACATTCAGTTTTATTTTCTCATATTTTAAGTAAAAATCTAACACATGCACTTAATTTATGTTCGTTTATTTATTTCTCGTCTGAAATATTGGATTTGATATTTTCCCTGAAAAATGGGAATCCCTTTTCGGAAAACGTTCATCCACTTCGCAAGTAGCAACTCTACTGAATAGCTAAAAATAAGATTTTTTTTCAAAACGTACCTTTAAAACATAAATATTTTAATAAAAATCATATTTAGATAACATGGACACAGATTATATTATATGTTTTAATTTTCAGGATCTCAAACAGAGTCCGATCGCTTCAATATGATGACGAGGAAAGTACTAACCAGACGCCGAGGACTGCCAGGTCCCTCTACCATCCTGAAGGATGTGATGACATGTGTGATTGTTGTTTATTTCAGGGGTGTTGCGCATGTGCATGTTGTTGTGAATGTTGCACGGGAAGAGAAGAGGAACAATTTCCGGTTACCCTCTTTTTTGTTCATTTATCGTAAAAGTTTGATGATTTTTGTACTTACTTAAAAAAATATAAACGTACAATATAAATACTTTTAAAATTTCTGAAGTGAGGAATTAAGCACTCTAGATCTGTATTCAGCTCGGAACGAGTTTTTCCTGACTTACAATGTGCTAAAATTTGCAAACAAACAAAATATGTTCATATTTTCCAATACTGTTGTTAAATTTACTATACCAGCCTTCCTAAAGTTTGATCTGCATTGGGAAAAAAGAATATTGCCACAAATATACATCTTTTATTTCCGTTCCGTATACAATATTTAAGATATAACTGAAAAAAGAACTGAAGAACATCATATTGATTTGAAAGATAAAGCTGTACAATATACAGTTATGCAATTATTTCTTTCAATTTTATTTCGAGTTTTGGTTACCTGACCAAGAGAGGGAGAGAGAGTGGGGGTGGGGGGAGTGTATTATAAAATATGTTGCTGAATCATGCATTTCTCCTTTTTTCGTCATACCTTATAAAACCCACTGGATCATTACTTTGTCACCCTAAACATATATTCTATATTTTTTTTTTTATTTTAACAATTGGTTTTTCCATAGTAAATTTAAAAATCTGTGAAGTATTCCATTGGTTAAGTGAAATTAAGAAGATCGAACACGCATTTGTGCTTTCGCATTTCGAGGAGCTTCCTCCACGGATTGTTAAATTTTCAGATGTGGAGAACCCTAATAACGGTATAATGTTGACTTCTTTTTTTGCTAATTTTCCATCACAGATATATATGCTATATTTAGATATTTAGTACTGTTAAAAGAGTGAGCAATAATTTGATACAAATGGATTTTTAAACACTGAAGGAGTTCTTTTTTTTTTTAGCTGTCAATGATTTGATTTATATTTGATTTTGTTTTTTTGTTGTTGTTTTTTTGTTTGTTTGTTTGTTTGTTTGTTTTTTTGTTTGTTTGTTTGTTAGTTTGTTTGTTTTTTTTTGTTTTTTTGCTTTGTTTGTTTGTTTTCTTTTTAAAATCTTTTTTGTAGGGATGAGTGTTTGTATATAATTTATTCATATTTGTTCGCTAACGTAATTATCTTATGAACGAATCTTTCGGTAAAAACTATAGCAAATCCTCAAATTGAGAATGTAAAAAAAAAATTCAATAATTACATGTACCACATTCACATTTCCTTTTTTGCAGAGTCTTTCACATTTCCTTTTTTGCAGAGTCTACTCTGTCTATGTAATGTATCGTATTCGTGAATTCTCGAATATGTTTTGGACAATCTTCATGAAACTTCACATAATTAAATCATGAGCATAAGCTGTAGTTTGGCTTTCCGCAACTTAAATGTTCAAAATGACCACACAAAATATGCAAATTTGACAATTTCATTTTTTAATGGTTGTTTAAATTTTCTTTCATGTGAATCAGTGCAATGGGACAAGACGTGCTATCACAGGATGAAAAGCCAGGTTTCCCAAATTTGGAAACCCGATGGAAACATATGGGAATCGTGACATCAGTAGTTTCCATATAGTTTCCATTTTATGGAAACCACATAGTGGTTTCCACGTAATTTCCCGATATGGAAACAATCAACCTGTGGTTTCCCGTAAGTTTCCCAATATGGGAAACCGAGGAAACACGCAGTAGTGGTTTCCACGTAGATTCCCGATATGGAAGCAATCAACCTGTAGTTTTCCGTATGTTTCCCAGATATGGAAAACACGTATGCTGTGGTTTACACCTATTTTCCCGATAACAGACATTTTGGAAATGTGTATCAAAAGAATAATAAAAAAAAAACTGTTTGTGTAATTCTTTGTAATAAAATTGAACATTCTGTGACCACCGTAAACCCAAATTAAATAATTTTTTAACATTTTAGTCTCGGTAAAACTCATAAAGACACGTGAATTGGAATTAGTAGAGAAGATTTAATACAACTTTTAATTTTAGAAAAATCAGTGTAAACTGTTCAGATAAAATTCAATTATTGCGCTAACCCTTGTAATCGCGGGCACCTGTTCTCACGTGCCACAGGTGGAGACACGTGTCGCGAAGACACCTGCGACTGTGTATTTTTTGTATATTCTATGTGATTTGAGAGGGTTTTCTACCTAAGGGGAACAATGGGCTGTGGTCAAGCATGTACATACACATAATCTCCGCAAACTCAGTTTAAATTTAGGTGATAATTGCTGGCCATTGATTTAATTTTAAAAAAATTAAAATTATCAATAAGATCGCAAAATATTGATAAAATAAGCTACATTAATTTTAAGATGTTCAATGAGAGAAGAAAAAAAAAAGAATTGTATTTCAATTTTTCATTACTGATTAAAAAACAAAATTTCCTAACCGTTTAAAAATTATATATACTTTTCAATCGGTCTAGAATAAATCTAAATTCTCGTTATGTGTTAAATCATAATTCTTTTTCAAATAAATTTGTAAGTGCATTGATAAAATGAAATAAAATTTCTTAATCGGTAATTAACGAATCGTCCTTGTTTGACATCAATGTAAACTTCAAATATTGAAAACATAGAAAGAATTATTAATTATCAACTTTGTTGCCTGCTTAATTCGCAAATTGTTTATGAGAAAGGATGCAGATGGATCTATTATACAACATAACAACTAAATTACTAATGTTTTGTGTGAAATTCTTATATAGTCCTCTACAAAGACATTGATAAGATAATACAGCAGAATAATATTCATATACAAAATTAATGAGTGTTAAGTAAATAACTTAATTTTTATTTATATCTGTACACAGACTGTCTTCATTTTTCGCAGGAAATTACAATAATGTTTGTCTTAAATGCATACATGCACGTATATTTAATTTAGCCATTTTGTACACCAAGAC